CGGCTTGGAGGGGTCTGCGGATTTGCCTGACCTTGGGTGTGCGGCCGGCGGGGTCTGCAGTTGCGACAGGAGCTGCCAGGCTGCTGGGTGTCCCACTGGAGTTTGGGTGTTGTGTGGAGAGAGGACAGAGGGTTATGTCAGAACACTGAATATGCACATCTGGCTCGAGGCTTTTGACACCCTGCCTGTTTCAGACATAGCAGCAGCTTCTTTTGAGCCTGTAGCAGCTCTTGAAAGTGCTGTGGAGTGGCAACCTGATGTCAGAGCAAACTGGTAGCTGATGGAGTGTTCAAACATACATACTGCTGGAGCTCCTGCAGTACAGGGTCCCTGGGTATTGGCTTCTGCAGCAGAATAAATCTCTCTGCCGCAAATGCGGTGTTCAACCCTGCTTCTCCCAGCAGACAGACATGTTGGGACACAGCCACATGAGAGGCTTGGAAGCATTAGGGGTTGGCTGCTATCAGGACTTTGGACTTAAGCCAGATGCAAAGCCGGTTTCTTTGTAGCCTGCGGCAGCCGAGTTCATTGCAGGCTCTCGGGAACGTCCGGGTGCAGATAGCCGCACGATATTTTGCATAGACAGTATCCTGTAATATTTCTGCACTCAGTTACATCTGCCTGGTCCTCTAACTCTCTTCCCTTCCTTCCGTAGCACACAAGTGTAGAGAGTGAAGCAAGCCTCCATTCTTCTGCTAGCACTTTCTCCACCTCCTCCAGCACAGTATCAGCCGCCCCACCAGTCGTAAGCGTTTCATCCAGTCTCAGCAGTGTCAGCAGCCTGGGCCTCAGCCTCAGTAGTAACTCCACGGTGACGGCCTCGACTCGCAGCTCTGTTGCAACAACATCAGGTACTTTCCTGGGTACTCCTAAACAGGAGGAGGGTGTGGGGGCTGAGAGAGACAGCTTCTGTTTGCTTCACTGTGGAACTTTTTCTTTCTCTTCCTTTTTCAGGAAAAGCCCCTCCCAATCTCCCTCCTGGAGTCCCACCGTTGTTGCCTAATCCATACATCATGGCTCCAGGGTTGCTACATGCCTATCCGGTGAGTGGGACGACTGGCTCTTTGCAGTTGTGTCATGCCACTAGATCCCTCTTAGCTCTGTCTTCAGCTGGCAGGGAGGGATGTAGTACAGTAGAGAAACCAGAAACTGTAACATGAGCCCAGCAGGATTGCCTTGGTTGGGAAGAGTTTGGACCTGCTGTTTTCCATAAAACAGTAGCAGAGGAAATCATGTGCCCGTGGGGGTAAATGTCTGTAATTCTGGTCACCCCAGAGCAGATTCTGTCTGCCTGTTCTCTACAGCCTCCCCAACCTTTGGGGAGCAACAGCCCTTGGTCAGAGCACGGCTCATGAAAGTGTGGAGCTGTATTAGCAACATGGGCATGACAAAGGCCAGTCAGAACAAGGGTGGCAACGGCCGCAAAGTCTAGGGGTGTGTCACAGCCCTCTTCTGAAGGTGAGGACAGATTTTGGAGTTGGAATAATTTCTAGAGGAAAATTGTTGAGTGCCTTTGTGGTCTGGAGCAGCGGTGCTAGGCGTTGGTGCTCACTCTTCATTTGAGCAGCTCATAAAAACACTCTTGGCAGTGTCAGTCTTGCGGTAGTGTGTGCTGGCTGCCTGCGCCTAGGTAATTGTGTAGCCTCTGATCATCTGCTTCTGGCCTTGTGTAATGTTTATCTAAATGTTTAATCTAAAATTAGATAAGTGGCTTTATCTAATCTGTGTCCCTAACATCATCTCCTACTCTTTTTCTAGCCACAGGTGTATGGATATGATGACTTGCAAATGCTCCAGACGAGATTCCCGTTGGTGAGTACTGAAAACTGGCATGGACGTGCCACTTCCACTGCTCTAAGAGCTCGCTGGTGCTGCGTGCTTTGGGTGTACAGACAGCTCAGGCTGTGAGGAAGTCCTGAAGAGCTGGCAAAACGGTGCTAAACAGATGCACCTCTCCGTGGCGGTAGTGAGGAGTTAATCAGTTGCTCCTTTGCACTTGGGGAGTTAGGAGCACTAGTTATTCAGACGGCGGTATTGGTGGTGAGGCTAGGGAATGAGAAAGCTACAGCAGGCAGAGCTGTTTTGCTCGACAGTCGTGTGAGGAGCTGCTGTAGATACTTGCCTCTGATCCTTGGAAGAGGCAGTGACTAAATACTTTTATGAGAATGGGGTTTATTTAGCAATATGACATGTGTCCCTTGTGTTGTGAAGTGGAGGGGAAAGTCCAGGCAGTTTAAGGACTGCATACCAGTAGACCTTTTCTGGTTCTTCTAATAGCCAGACGAGGGGGACGGTGCATGCTACAAAAACCTGGGGGTGCTGTAGGCTGTGATCAGCCGTGATGTGGTTGATTGAACTGCAATACTCCAACATATCTGGCGGCTGCAGTCCAGAAATCCCTCTTTTCCAAAAGATACTGCTTTGCATCTTCGGACAGAGCTCATAAAACAACATGTCCTTTTGTTTTTATCCTTCAGGATTACTACAGCATCCCATTCCCTACACCCACTACCCCGCTGACTGGAAGAGATGGCAGCCTGAGCAGCAATCCATACTCTGGTAGGGAAAAAGACTGCTCTGATCACATATCCCATCAGGGGTTCGTGCTGCTGCTTACTAGGTTCCTGTGCCGTTGTCCGCTGGAGCTACGTCTGCACCAGCCTCCTGCACTGCCTTGTTTCTGAGCAGTTAAATTCTTGACTTCCCTTTGATCATCTAGTCGTGTCGAGGCGTGTTACCAGGAAGATGTGGACAAGTAGGAGTTGATGCGGCAGTTGGAAGGGGAGCGAGGGGAGGCTGAAAGAATCTGTGAGGCGTAAAACTGGGGAACTGCTTTTCAGCTCGTGGTGAGGCAGGGGTTAAGCTGTGCTTCTCAAGCACTTAGAATAAAAACACAAAGAAACCCAAAATCTGGAGAAATTAAGTTTTTTATCTATGCAACAATCTCATAGAGAAAGAAAACAGGGCATTTAGGACCTGTCAAATTCAAACCAAATACCCGGTTGGGTGGCTGATCTCTCACTGACCTTGGTGGGTGCATTTATTCACACCGCTGATTCGCAGTGGGCAGTGGTTGTGCTGAGCTTTCATGTGCTTTAGGAATTGTTGCACTTTGTGGATCACTCTTTTTCCAGCACCGCTTCTCCCCTGCTTCAAAAAAAGCAGAAGTGCTTTTGCCCGGCCCACTGAGGCTGAAATCCCAAGCTCAGAGTGCGGCACTGTTGCATGCATAATTTTCCAAGTTAACATCGGTGATAATTAATGTTTGTGGCTATCCTGGACGCGCTTGTGAGCTGGGGCAGCACTGAGAAATTCACTGGCTTACTGTGTGAGCTCTGAATAGGGAGAGTGTTTGCATGGAAGAGCAGAGCAGGTGCTCGTAAAGAGAAGCAAAGGGAGCTTCCCTAAGCCCCGCAGCCAAGGCCTCGTTCAGCGCCTCGTTCAGACTGGGAAGAGAGGAAGCGATATTTCCAAGGACTCTCTGCGGGCTGCGGGGCCTCTGCAGCAGCATTTGATTCGGTGCCACCGGCAAGAGGGAGGGAGGTGTGAGCCCTGCTGTAAAAAGGGGCCATTCACACATCCTCATCTGGAAGATATTTGATTCTCCTCTTCAATGAGGAGCTGTTTGCCGGTAGGACGGAGCCCACAGGCTGCTGCCCTGGCCTCGGATCTGGCTCTGGAGGGAGTTGAGTTGTGTTCAGACCTGCTGCTGATGCACGGAGAGGGCTTAGGGGAGAGCTCTAGCATCCGAGCTCCGTGTCTGCACAGGCGGCCGGTGGCAGGTTTATCCAGTGCCGGATCATAGGCTGACATCAGGTGGTGCAGTACTGTAGCTTAGCTGCTGTGGGTTTCCCTTCCCCTCTGAAGTCATCCTCTCAGGGATGAGGAGAGCAATTAACAGCCTTATCAGCGTGCAAGGGTCTGAGGGCTTGCGAGGGCTGCAGTCCTTAGTAGCTGTAGGAGGGGGGTTGATTGAAGGCACCTTTGATCAAAAGGCTGGGTCACCTTTGGGCTGAGCTAGAATGGGCCAGGATTTGCCACGTCTCTTCAAGTCTCCTTTCATCTCCTGTATTCCAGGTGACTTAACAAAATTTGGCCGAGGTGATGCCTCTTCCCCCGCTCCTGCAACGACTTTGGCCCAGCCTCAGCAGAGCCAGACCCAGACTCACCACACCACGCAGCAGACGTTCCTGAACCCAGCGCTGCCTCCTGGCTACAGTTACACCAGTCTGCCGTACTACACAGGGGTACCAGGGCTCCCCAGCACCTTCCAATATGGGCCCGCCGTGTTCCCTGTGAGTTTCCCAGAGGCAGGGCGTGGAATTCGGGCAGGAGCGCAACGCAGCGAAGCCTCTCCTCACTCTGCTTTTCTCCTTTCTGTAGGTTGCTCCTACCTCTTCCAAGCAGCATGGTGTGAATGTCAGCGTCAACGCATCAGCAACCCCGTTTCAGCAGCCCAGTGGCTATGGCTCTCATGGATACAGCACTGGTAAGAGACACGACAGTGTCTTTCACAGCAGCAGTTGCCGACAGTGGCCGGGCTTGTTCACAATCTCACTGGCCGCGTAAGGGGACTGCTGTCTTACTGCCTCCAGCAGTAAGGGAGGAAAATGGCCATGGTGTAAGTCGCAGGTCATTTGATTCTCCTTGGAAAGGCCCAGGCTTGTTCTGCCTCCAGGTCTGGAGTGGGTTGGAGGAGTACAGAGCCTTCCTCTGTGCCCAGCAGTCAGATGCCTGGCGCCATGGACTCGCATCAGAGAGCTTAGGCTGCTGAATTGTTTGAGTTCTGGTTTTGGTTTTTGTCTTTTTTTTTTTTTTACTGCCTGTATGTGATCAAAAGAACAATAATTATTCTAGATTTGAGCCTGGGAACTTGTTCGACTCCTGTGTTTGGCAGATGCATGCTTTCTAGAGAAGTGTCCTTCTTGATTCAAAGATGTAAGAAGGTTGTGAACCTGTCACTTGTCTCGGTACTGGGTTTCACTGGTTAATGTCTGGCTGACTATAAAGGGCCTGAGTTTGGGTCCCTCTTCCAGCCTTTAAATTCCTGTTGTGCGTTTTCTCACTACAATAGAGCCCTTCAAGAGACTGTTTTCTCTTTGCAAAGATACTTCAGCTCTGTACTAGGTCACCTGGTACTGAGTCTTTCAAACCTCTTTCATTTCAACACTTTTTGCGCGCCTCAAATGATTGCTGAGGCTTTCCTCTGCACCGCCACCTTTTAGAAACAGCCGGCATCAAATGTGGGTTGTGTGCCAGTGTTGCCAGTCGTTGCACCAACCATCCTAGCCCACAGTTGAGTCACCTTTACATGCAATTGCCTGTTTTACAGCCAAGGAGCTCTCGGGCCATACTTGCTACTGTGTCATGCCAGGAGTTTGTTTCCTTGTCTGCCTGCTGCATCCCCCCAGCTCTTCTCTTTGCTATTTTCTGGGCTCTTCGAGAATGTGCATTTCCCTGGGTGGCAGCAGGCCCCTAAATTTGTTTCTGGAGGCATTAGAAACTGCTCCTGTCCAGAGCAAAAGAACTTACACTTGTACAGGCACTTTGCAGCCTGGCCTTGCCAAGACCCTGCTCCCTAGGATGCAGTCTGTCTGCAAACCTTACCTGGCTGCTGGGCCGCTAGAACTCTCCACCACCTAATGCTGGCGTTAGCGGCAGCTAATTGGTGAACGGGTGGCTGCTGCCTAATGTTCGCTTGCCTTTCCTTCTCCCCAGGTGTATCTGTGACATCCAGTAATACAGGAGTGCCGGACATCTCGGGCTCTGTCTACTCCAAAACTCAGGTTAGTGTCTGGTGTGCGCTCCAGGAAGGCGCCGCTTTGCTGGGGAGCAGAAGCCCAGCTCTGAGACAGCCTTCCTGGGCGATGAGGTCTTCTCTCCTTGGAGCAGCTAGCCAGGGAGCAGGGAAATGCTCGGCCTTTCCCAACTTAGAGCAACTCCAAGCCCAGAAAGAGCCATGGGCAGAGACTCTGTCTGTTCTCTGCACTACGCACTGACTCCCGGGCCTGGGGCTTGTAGAGCTGGGAAGGGGCACGCTGCCAGCCAGGGGCAGGAGAGTGCCGCCCAGCCCTGCCTCTGCCGTTGGTGTCTCCTCCTCAGCAATCCTTCGAGAAGCAGGGATTTCACACTGGAACCCCGGCAGCCTCCTTCAACCTGCCTTCGGCGCTGGGCAGCGGCGGCCCCATCAACCCTGCGACGGCAGCGGCGTATCCCCCCACCCCTTTCATGCACATCCTGACCCCGCATCAGCAGCCCCACTCGCAGATCCTCCACCACCACCTGCAGCAGGACGGGCAGGTAAGCGACCCCCCCGGCCCCCCGGCCCTTGCTGGGGTATCTCCTAGGGCTCTCGCTACCCCCCCTCGGCCCCCCTCTCCCTCCCTCCCTCACGTCCTGCGGCGGACACACGCGGACACGCGGTGACACGCACATGCTCACACCTGCACATACACACAGGGCCGATAAGAGGACGAGGTGAGGAAGGCCCGGGGTGCGCTCCGCTGGGGGGTACTCGGCACAGCCCCCTTGCTGCCGGGCTGTACCAGGTACGGTCGGGTAGTGCCCCTTCACGC